CACAGACACACAGACACACAGACACACAGACACACAGACACACAGACGGACACAGACAGACACGCTTCTGGTCTCCAGAATATAACTAGCTGTTCCTTGATCAACACTGACGCTGACTGATGAAGTTATACAAAATCTACGTCACAAGAACATTTCCTGATTCCATCTTATTGTTATCTTGCCAACAATTTGCAGCCTTAATTAAATCGTTCTTGTGAGGACGTGGGCTATCACATCATCACAGCTATTACCGCCACTGTCACTCCCCCTCCTCCTTTCCATGGTCTCAGCATGATCCCGGGGTTTGGCTCACCTGGCCTTGTTGCCGGCATCCATTAGGTCAGCAATGTCTGTGTAGGAAGTGACAGCCAGCTTGGACAGGTCTTCCACGTAGGGACCCAGTAGCGGATGCTCTCGCACTCGTAAATTCCCTTTGTTCTTCGGGTTCAGCAAATCTCGCACCCGCTCACAGTAGATCTCCATGTAACTGACCTAGAAAAAAAATAGCAAAAGTATCGTCAGTTTGGGTGCTGCGGTGCAATATCATAAAGCAGTCAAATTAGGCAGAATGTAAACTTTTATACTGCAGATCTAAATAATGTAGGTATATTACAGTATATTTTGCAGTTTAATTGTTTATTCATATCATAATCATTTGCTTTTCTGGGACTTTTTTTCCAGTTTGAGGAACAAAATCATCTGAAGCAATATGCTAAAGGACACAGCATCTTTGAAGGTTCAGCCAGTATGCGATTGATTTCTGACTATCACCAGATTTACTGTTAACAGAACGCTAGGAATAGTTCAGTAGAGTCAAGCAAACACCAGAGTCAGAGGCAGGGGCCAAGAACAGGGATTACAGATGCCAAAGCATTCTGAGACTCACCTCTACCGAGTAGGAGAGCTCCTCTTTGTTGCTGGCATCATCGATTTTCTCAAATAGATCTTCACAGAGCTGAGAGGCAGAGACAGAAGATGTTTAGTGCAAATTGACAGCATGTGAAAGGGAGGATGAATAGAAAGAGAGATCTGTGGACCGAGAGGTAAGATACTAACTAACTTATTTGCATGTATAGGAAATCATTTAGCAACAGAACATCAGACAAGAAAAATGTAGAGCGCATCAGCATATGAGACTTGCCTCCTAATAATTATTACTGAGTAAAATATAGTATTAATGCTAGAATGAATAAAAGTCGGAAAATACAATGTAAGAAATATCTGACAAGACGTCCCCCTCACTATTGCAGTTTTCCTAAACCAGGTGGTGGCTACAAAGGGAAGCGAGCATTGACTCAAAACAATTGACTGACAATTTAAAAAGTTGAAGTGAAATACAGGAAGATAAGGATGTTAAGCAGGCAAAAAGAAGAGTTGTGAAAGCACCGTAAAGTTGCACTCTGAACATTTCTGTGGTGGATCGATTTGGTTTGAAATGATACGACTGAAGATAACTGGTAAAAACTGTTTTTGTATTACAGAAAGTGTCCAAGACTGACTCACGAGTTATGTTAAACATTGAAGTCAGGTTGCACGAGTCAAAAATACAGCGGGCAAAGTCTCTTAATCTCTGCTATGCAATTCAGTAAAATCAGAAAGATGTACTGCAGGACAAACCATGGGAATGATCCCTTCCTGCCCCTCCTCCTGCTTGCCCATCATGGTGTAGGATTTGCCAGATCCTGTCTGGCCATAAGCAAAGATGCAGACGTTGTAGCCCTCGAACGCATGTGCCAGCATCTCCTTGCCAATATCATTGAACACAAGGTTCTGTGATGCAAAGCTGGGGTCCTCCGGCTGTGGGAAAGACAGAGAGGACTTAAATGTATAGAATTTCAATAAACTTGTGGTATTTCCATACATACATACATACATACATACAGTCATTACACTGAACTATGGAAGATAGAAAATGCTCAAACTCACCGTAGTGTGTGACCAGTAGGAGTAATCAAAACTGAAGGTCTTTGCTGGTTCCTTTGGGGCTTTGGGGTTGAGAATAGCTGGAGGGAAAGAACAAAATTAGTAATGTGGATGATAACATCTGGTTTGAATGTGAAAAGGAGACAAGAACTACTCCCAAGGTCTTGCAGTTTCATCTGAAGGCCTACCTGAAGTTAATTAATTTATGCTTCATCATCTGTTGAGTCACTGGACTAAGATTTTGATTCAATCCTTTCAGCCACAATTTAGTATCCAGCAAAAGTTGCTTCTTTGCAGTAATTTGAATTATGGCAGGGAATCTTTAATCAACTAATCATTGAAACATAGGTTTGTATCCTGGCCTTGAAGTATATTTGCAAGCCTATTGCCTTTGTGTCCAATTAATGTGTTGTCTTCTAGTTTAGAGCATCAAGTCAAATATGTTTCAGTTTACTTTTTTTGTGTTGTTGTTGTTGTTCTGGCACACTCACTTTCTTTTGTTTTCCAGCTCGTTTTATCTCATTCTCAGACTAGTTAAGAAGGTAGTTTGAATAAAATGTTGCTTCAACATCAACATCTCACCAAACTCCCATCCCTCATTTAACAAATTTCCCTCTGGGCATGAATAAAGTATACATCCATCCATCCATCCATCCATCTTTAAAGAGCTAATTTATATATTCCTCCTGAACCTTCTCAAAAAACACAAAATGTAACATCTTAGCTTCAAAATGGACCCTGTTTACATATGATTTATTGTATCCCGCAAACAATGGGTCAATCTATACAAGATGATGTTCTTCAAATCAGAGCATCAACTGATATATTTGGAACTGAAACTCACCAACTAGTGACGGATTATAAAGCATCAGCTTTTTTTGAGAACTGCAACTGTTGTGTCAACCTTTCCCAAAACACGCCATCTGTAATCGGTTTCTTTATTCGTACTATGCATTGATAACACAGAGACCAACAATACAGAGTTTAAATAACACATGTCACCTATTCTCACTATACCACCTGCACCTGTTGTATCTGCTATGATGACACGGTATTTCTGCTCTGCCCTGCCATTCCCTATGGCCACACAGACATTTCTTAATGAGGAAGAATCTGCAGCCATGCCCAGCATGTCATCCCTCTCAACCATGCTTGCTAGTACCCCTGGGACTTGTGTTTAAGCTTCCCACACCCTGCACTGGATATGTGATGGAGAGAAAAGGAGATTAAGAAATTACTGTAGGATATTTGTAGACATCTATATCCCAGTTGTGCCTCGAACCCCTGTCTTAAACAAAGTGCACTTTTATTGACTAAAGCTGCCTTGCATCAGGGGCCAGAGCGGAGAGTTCACTCAGGCTACACAGACAAATGCATACCTCCACCGTCAGTAAAGAGGGGGAAGGTGAAGGGGAGGAGGCAAAGAGGCTGGTGAAGAAAAAGGGTTTGAGGGACCAAGGGGTGTGTTCACGGGCCTAGCAACAATCCAAACAGAGCAACAATAGAAACCTAAGGCAGAGTGAAAGGAAAAACTGTGAATATGCATCTTTGAAAGAACAAAATGAGCTATTTTTTTTTTTCCGCTATGTCCAAGCAAATCTATGTCCAAGCAAAATCTCAAGTGTGGACCCATAAGTACTAATTAGCTCCGTTTAATGCAAATTCGGTGCTTTGCTAATGGACAAATTAAAGCCAGGTCTGGCTCCTCGACATGAGGGTGCTTGAGAGGCTTTTGCATAAAGATGTCCCAGGCAGAGGGCCTCATGTGTTCAGAGGATTTCAGCACACTTATCAATAATGCAGGAGATGTGGAGAGACAGGGATTGTATATCACAATCCACAGGTCACATGCTAAAAGAAAAGCACAGCGTGTCCTCAGAAACCAGAACACTAACTGCTTCATGCTAAATATAGCAGCTTGCATTGCACTAAAACGCAGGTAGCGACAACCTAGCACAGGTTAAAAAAAAACAATGCATTCTTCAATAGTCTTCAAAAAGGTTAAGGTGCACATGTGGAGCAGTAGCGTCCATATTGGGCACTGCAAGAGGATACAGCAAACCAGGTGGCTAAATGAAGCCCAATTTCACCATTGACCTGTCTCCAATGGGAAATTGGAGCTAGGGCATGAAGAGATGAAGGGGGATTTAAGTTACCAGTGCCCCTATTCCCCTTTCCTGGAGCAATCTACAGTGGCTATTAATGAAGAGACAGTCTAATTCGGAGTCATTCAGTGTCAGCCAAATTCAGTGCCAACGAGGCAACTAAGCAGTAAAAACGGAAAGATGAGACCGTTCCACATGTGGGGCATTCAGACAGTGGGATGCCCATGACGGGCCAGCGGACTGACCCAACTGACTGTGACAAACTGGCCCTACTGGGAATCACAGCAGTGTTCTAGCAAGACGAGAAATAACGCGAGCTTTCTAATCCCCGAGTCACTTTCCCCCCCCCCCCCCCGTCTGTTTATGGGCTCTCACCGGCGAACAGGGTGGATGTCGTGGTGTGTAAGTGTACCCAAGCACAGCAAAGCTGCATGGCAGCAGCCAAGTGGGAGACTGCTCAAATCCTAGAGGTGAATCACGCTCACGACGTGGCATGTGAACGTCTCATCCGATTGCCCACTCCTTCGCTCTCAGAACAGATAGCTGCTTCACCCATGTGGTCCTGCCAGTGCGTCACACAAGTGGGTCTCTCATGTAAGAGTCTCTAAATGTGTATTAACGGCAGGGATGCAGTAAGGGCTGGCGAAGGGTTAGTGCATTCTGATTTCTAATTACTTGTACCCCCATATCTTCCAGCTGAATATCAGTCACTCTGTTCACTTTACACCCTTGCACCTGTACATCCCTCGTAGAAGAATCTACGCAAGCAGCACTGATACACAGATAGTAACAGTAGACATTAACACGTCAATGAGGAATTCCTCTGCGCTCCATTTATAGTAAATATTCCCATCAGAGTCACTTCCTCGACTTCAAAAGGCAGACGAATTCTGCTGCCGAATAAACGTCATCACTACCTCTTTCTCAACCATGGCAACAGGTGCAGGACCAAATTCTGGTTGCCATAACAACCTCAACTTGGCACAGACGGGGAGGATGCGGCACATTGCGTTCAGTTTTCTCTCCTCTCACGCATTGTCTCCTCTCCCATAACTGCTTTGTACAAACTATACAGAACTACTTCAATGCAGGTTTATGGTGAAAGACACTTATTTATCAAACTGATTTCAGGATCCTTTAAAAATCCTACAACGTGCAAAAGACAAGACATGACAGACGAGTGAAAAGCTTTAGGATTTGTAACAGAGACATTAAGCTACTTATGTCAGACTCCATCAGCAATTACAGAACCAACTTTTACTACACAAAAGCCTTTTAAATACTTTGTAAATGGAACATTTAATGACGTTAATATTATAGTAAAGAACAAACATTTTATCATTTAAAAATCCCAGAGCACTACCCTTGGTTGAACAGAAGGAACGCATTGATTGGCTGCAGCCTAAATACCAGGTAACCCTAAACTGAAGGTCCACAGGCAGAAAGTCAACATTATCTCTCTCTATCTCTCTCTCTCACACTCACACACACACACACTTAACTTCAGTTACATAAAGGGATGTCATGCCAATCTGTGTGGGAGACTATTTAGGAGACACTATTCTCTCAAGATACAGAACCCCATATGAGGACAGTTTAAGTGTGCATTTGTCCAAAATGTCAAAGTTCTGCATTTTCAATTCCTCTTCCACAAAATACAGGACTGATGTGATGCTGGCACTCCACAGGAGCTTTCCATTTCAAGGCAGGGTGGATACCAGGGCTAACTAACCACATCCTGCCATCTAAAAGGACATCCCTCAGCTGGTTGCAGCCAGACGACATTTTGTGTTCCAGTGTTCAACATGGGGCCTATAATCTGGCCAGGAAAGCAATGGTAGCCCGCAATAATTAGGTTGTTAAGAGGTCTCTGCACACCAGATGGGGACTAAAAGCTAGACCCATTCACCTGGGACCAGAAGACAAACAGGGTCTAAAATGGCTGAACTAACTGCCTCTCCAGTAACCCTCTAAGGACCTGCTAGCTGTACGTTTGAGCTGGTCGATGTCTCTTCGTGATCACAGGAAGGAGATAAGGGCATTAAATAAACACTGAAATATAAAGCAAAACTAATGGATGAGTTTCTAAGAGAACCCGGGCATTCGGAGAAATAATATCTGTGCAGAATTGTAATTGCAATGTGTGCTTCTTTCAGCAAGACAGACATTTTAATAGCATCCCCGGGGGTCTGTGTGCATATGGTCAGCAGTGTGATGTAACGGTTCACTGCTAAAGAATATCATTTTATTTATTTATTTAAAAAAAAAAGAAAAAAAAAAAAATAAAAAAAAAAGAAAAAAAAAAAAAAGTGTTGTTTACACCAACAGCTCCAAAGCAACCCAAACGCTTAAATCAGTAAAGCGTGTAAATTGTGTTCAAATTGTGTTCATTACATTTGGGGTGACAGTAAAGGAAACACACCAAAATAAAAGCCTAACCTTTGATGTGCCCCGTCAAGAGAAATCACTGCTGACACGAGCCGATGGCTCGAGCAGTGCCACAGTAACGCCAATATGGTTGTTCAGTCCTAAATAAGGAGCATTAAGACGGGATGGGCCGCGTTCTGACGTGGTCACAGAAACGCTCTGCATGTTGTATCCAGTGTTTCTGGAAGAGTGTGTGTGATGGCTCGGTTGCCAGGGCTGCAGCACAGGTGACAGAGTTGTCACTGGACGCAGCTCAAAGCCGAGGGCTAAAAGTAGCGTCTGAGCACTGCTGTGCTCATTTGACAAACAGCTGAGCTCGTCGCAGCCACAACACAGGACATACAACATCTCCACAACAGAAACAGACGTGGTATCTTCAGTACCCCTCGAGATAAAGTGCACTTTCATGTCTGGTCAGGGAGATGCCCTGTGGCCTTTCATTAAATACAATATCTATACAGCAATTCAACACTCCTCTGTCGTGTACTCCTGCCAAAAGAAACCTGGAACTTTCCAGGCGGGCAGATGAGTTCGTCTAGCCAGGAGAC